AATTAATCCTAGTTTAACTGGTGATTATAATCAATTTTTGGGTAAACCAATGAATGAACGAAATTCATGTTTTGGTGCTCCACGTTTCGTTAAATTAGAGTTGATGGAAATGTCAACTTATATTTTGAATGATGAAATTTATTTAAAAGTAACAATGAATATGGATCAAGTAGTATCGGTTTAATTAAAGATTTTGATCATTTGAATGTTTATATTACTTAAATGACTTTAATTAATAATTGAATATTGTAACTTGTTGTTGTTGTTATTATTGTTGCGTGATTCAATTAGATTTTATAAAAATAGAATTTTTATTTTGTCATGAATTATAATAAACGTTTTGTAGTAATTTAAATTGTTTGTTATCAGTAAATTAAAACGATTGAGGAGTCCCACAATAGAAAGAAACAACCGTCTAGTGCTTCCAGGTTTTCAATGGTTCTCTAATACCACTCGATTCATGATCTCAATTAAAGATTGTTTAACTAGTTTCAAACGTTCTAATATCTGAGATGAATCAATAAATGAACCGATTAAGTGTATATTATAATTTTTTAAGATGATCACGAATATTATCAATTTGTTTTTAATTGTATTTAATGAACGAGAAAATATAGAGATCAAGATGTATTGATGATTAAGTTGTTAGTTTAACTAAGCTCAAATAAATAATATATGATCTAATAGTTGAATTTATGAGGTGATTAAAGCTAGACCATCATGAAAAACCTGAAAGCACTGGACGGTCATTTCGTCCTTAGCCGTGTGCATCCACGATCCCGCCTCGCTGGATTCAGAATCAGAACTTATCGGTCTCGCGCGCGAACGCTTAACCTCTAGACCGCTGAGTCAGTGTCTGGTGGTGTTATTATTTAACTTCAACCAATCATGTAATCGTCAGTTCAGTATTAAGTTAAACTCGTCACAGTACTGTTTTCTCTGATCCTAACCAGAGAGAAGACAAGAATTCGGGGGTTACAGTAGTATTGTATATGAATTCGTGTATTTTCAACAGGTTGAACGCTAGTTGTTGTAAAGTTATATTTTCGCGCATTTTGCCACTTTTATAGAGTCAAAGTCATTCATAATATCACTAGAAATCCAATTCTTTCTTTTTTAAAATAATTCTTCAGATCTGTTTTATAATTAGATTTGTCAACTTTACAGTTCGCTATAAAAGTGGACTTTTTCAAATAGTTTAACATGGTGAAGTAAACAAACTGAATCATATGTAATCTAATATTATAAGATACTGAACAACTGATGGCTAAACGGATTTCTCTGAACTGTAAATTTGTAGTGAACGAAAACGCAGTGACTTTGTAAAGTATGAAAATCATACATTAATTACATCATTTGAATATCTTCCTTCAATTGTCCTTTATATACTCAGTTATTACTCTAGTTCTGTTATTATTCTGATTGTTCTTTGTTTTCCTTCCCTTTCTCTTTATTTCAATCTTCTTTTGGTGAGTATTTTAATTCATTTTCCTACTGCATACTACTTATGTCTATCCGTGTCAGTAGCAAACACCATAGATTGATCATCTGTTTCCTAATCGTCAGCTATTACATTCAAAGACTAGTTGGAAAGCTTTAATAACAAGAAGACCGTGTTTAAATGCATTCAATTTTTGTCATACATATTCATATCATAAACATCATAACTAATCGCTAATATCTATGAGTCGGTGAAAATAGAAGAAAATGATTAATAACTCATAATACTCAATATTCTTTAAACCAAAAAAAAACAACTTAATATCATTATCATTGTCATGTTCAATGGTACTGTGAAAGATTGATTGTTTATTCAAAAAATTTTTTCTCTAAAACAATATCATTCATTATAAGTAAAGATAGATAGTGGCTAACAATGAAAACCAGGACGCCCCTTTCGTCCTATTTAGGACTTATCAACTAGATATGTCTTCATCTCATAGTTGATGTTCACTCTGGGATTCAAACCCAGTGTGGTGTGTGCTTCTTGTATTGACATAAGTAGTATATGACGTTGGTCGTGAACAGAAGGTCTGGCAGCAGAAAGACAAGAGAATCGAACAGTAAAGAATCGGAACAGAATTCAGTTTGTATGGAAATGCAAAAACAATGAAGTCTGAGTCATTTTGAGACAATTGATGGATATTTTGCAAATTACGTATTTACTATTTGATTGTTAGATTTTATTATTATTTTGTGTTAAATACATTCGATTGTCCCCACTGATGTTCTTGTTCACTACATCAGTATCATTCACTCCAAACACCATCGCGCTATCTACTTAGCTACTGAGTTCAGATAGACAATTGCTTGTACATTCATTCACTGTACAACTAATGAATTTATACAACTGATATCTTATTTAATCATGAAAGTAGGATATTCAACACGGATTTTTATTTATTTATAATATTCATAAGAAAATCTTAAGTTTTATGTCTATATTTTTTCCTTGTTTTAATTGACAGAATGTAATTTAGTTTGTTTACATATATATATTACTCAAATGGTTATGTTTACTATTGAAAGGCATAATACATGAGTAGTATATTTAGTTTAGAATATCAGCTTATTGTATTATACTTCCTCTATATACAAAATAAATTGACATAAAGAAATGAAAATCAGAAAAAAATTGTTTTGAGTCTATTAAATAGTTTAGAAAAATTAAAATGTGTCGATTAAATTTATCTAGGCAAAATAAACTAGTATTTATACTACTGAAAATACTGAATTGAAGAAAATATGAATGATTAATGAACATATTAACAATTCATTATAATTTAGTAAGTTATCAGTAATATAAATTTCAATGATGAATTATTTAATAAATTAGACCATCATTGAAAACTTAGAAGTATTGAATGTCTATTTTGTTCTATTGTGGGACTTCTCAGCGGGTGCGTATACACAATAGAACGAAATGACTATTCAGTACTTCAAGGTTTTTAATGATGGTCTAACTTCAAATGGTTCATGATCTCAATCAAACATTTAATAATCTTCACAACTGATATTTAATATATAGTTTGAAATTTGTAATTCATTAGTAATGTTAGCCATTTTTTTTGTTTTTGATACTTGATTAATGATTGTAATAAGGACAATACCAGTAATTTGGTTTTAATATTGATATAAATATAGATATATTCAGTGGTTATATTTGCTTTTATAAGTGACAGTTATTATAGAGATTAGAAAAGAAAAGAACTTCACTTTACAAAAGTTGTTTTACATTATCGTTGTAGAGTCTAGATAATCAATGAGTACTTTAGTATTAGTATATTATTAATTGGATTGAAGATGATTACTGTGGGTTTGCTTCTTTATTCTAACTTATCTTGTTGATGTTAAGCTTTAAATTGACTACTTACTATATGAGTGATCAAATCGAATTTACTTTAATTTTTTGTCTAAGTTACATCTCATTGTATTCTGAGAATGAAAGCTAAACTTTTCTATTAACTGTGTACAATCAATCAAATTGATACATAGAATTGATAAGTTATTTAGATATAAAGGTATTCAGTAAAGTCACATTGCCAATTTTCTGTTACGTAATATTTTAGCGTTAGAGTTAAACATTAACAGATGATCTAAGTTATATCAAAACGCCTCATTATAAAAACTAGATGTATAAAGACAGAATATTACCCTTTTTTTATTGTAGTAAACAGCAGTTATACAGTCAGCTTTTTAAATACCTAAGGATAATGAATTTCCAGTCATATTTCTAGAAGATGTCTGGTCTTGGCTCTTGTAAGTATAGTCAACACACAAATAGTGAAGAAGTACCGAAGATTAATATTTGACATGGGTGATGACTGATTTTATCAACTAAATCATAGTTTAAAATATGAATTTCACAACACAGTTATTGCTGAATTATATAAGATTAAAGAAACAACCAATAATTGAGAATAATGTTTTAGAATGTTCTGAAGGCCTAACCCATGTATTCGTATGATGAATAGCATAATGAATTAACAATATCTAACTGTGAACAGATGGAAAGTCAAGAAGAGAGTCAGTAACTCGTAGCATTCTATAAAGTTCAAATTTAATATCATTATCCTCACTAATACGATATGTTTTAATTCGAATGATTGATTTCTTATTTAATTTGTTCATTTTTTTTAATTAGCTGTGCCAATAATTATCTGTAAACATTCCTTATTAAGAGACTAAATGATCAAAATAATGATACTTTACAGTGATAATAGATTTCCTTAAGATGCTGAACATATAATAATAGGTATAAATCAATATAAAATTGAGGTGAAATCTCATTCTAATTCTTTCTAAAACTATTTTATCAAATCTTTGTGTTATATACATTTATTTACTAATGTATACTTCTAGACCACTGAGCCAGTATCCGACAGTGTTAATGTCTAAATTCAACTAATCCACAAAATTGAGCGATAAATCCACCATTGTCTTCAATGAGTTACTATCTCCCAACAGAGCCGGTTTGGTGCCGGCTCAGTGATCTAGAAGTTAAACGCTCGCGCGCGAGACGGATATGTCCTGGGTTCGAACCTCGCTAGGAGGGATCGTGGATACGCACTGCTGGGGAGTCCCATACTAGGACGAAACGGCCGTCCAGTGCTTCCAGGTTTTCCATGGTGGTCTAGCTTTAATTGGCTTTTGATCTCAACTATTGGATTTACTATAATATCCATAAAAATCCTCTTCTTATATTGTATACTTGTTACATACAATTACTTACTTACTCATACCTTTGACCGCCGGTGGAACATAGGCCACTAACCAGTATTCTCTAACCCATTATGTCTTGAGCCTTCCTTTCTAGTTCATGTAACACACGATAAACCAAGACAGACTCAAATGAAATAATAATATTTAACTGTTGTAAAATTCAACTTATTATGACTTAATTATAAAGTAGTTCTTTCAACAGATTTATTACTTTTCAGAAAAAACAACAACTTTGTCTTCAGTTTATCACTTTAGTTTATATCAAACATTAAAAAGAAATGATTTATCATTTACTGATTTTAAAATGGGCATGTATGAGCATAGTGAACTCTCTTCCAATGGATGTAACGGATACAGGTATGTAATTCGAATTCACATAAATTAATATATTATTCATATTATTGATGATAAAATATAATTATTGTCTATAATAATAATAATATTCACTAAGCAAAGATGGATAGTGGCTAACATTGGGTTCCAGGACGCACGTTTCTTCCTATTTGGGACTCGTCAGCTGGATGTACATGCATCTCAGAGTTGATGTTCACTTTGAGACCAATTGCACAAGCAAGTGGCCATCTAGACTCGGTAGCTAAGTGGATAACGCGATGGTGTTTGAATCGGATGGTACTGGGTCCGAGTCCCAGAGTGAACATCAACTCTGAGATGCAGACATATCGAGCTGACGAGTCCCAAATAGAACGAAACGCGCTTCCTGGATTCGACTACTGACCATTATCCGTCTTCGCTTATAAAACTTGTGACTTAATATTATATTGAAGCGATCGGCACAGGATTCCTATATGCCAACAAGAGAGTGATCAATTGCAGTTCTAAATAACAATGGGAAGATACAAGTAAAAAACCAACACCAAGTGAATAATGTTACTTGTTTAATATTTCATTGAATAGAAATTTGTGTTTCTAACTTTTCATGAGTTCAGTATAAGTAGTATCTTCATAGAATCAATAAATAATCGAACTGAATTAATATAATTTCATTTTGTTCAAACAACAATCTATTCAATGTCCAATTTATTTGAAATGATCAAATCAGAGATTGTTAATGGTGATATTTACTATTGGTGTCTATTAATTATTGTAATTATTTTATGTATGATAAATTGAAATTTTCTTATCATGAATAAATAAACTAAAGAATAATAATAGTTACAAGGAAGAATAACTAAGATGTAATCTGGTACTATTCTTAATTATTATTATGAATAAATACCTATATAATCATCTATCAAGTCAGATTATTGTAAACTGATTAACAAATATTTTATAGTCATTTCAATAGTTGAGATCATGAGTCAACTGAAGCTAGATCATAATGGAAAACTTGGAAGCACTGGACGGCCTTTTCCTTTTATTGTGGGACTCATCAGCAGTGCACATCTACGATTCCGCTTCTCGAGATTCATGTGAATAATTTTTTTAGCATTTGCAGCAATGAATTTGGACTAATAATCTTACTGATATATTAACAGTATTTGTGAAAGTATAAACATAAGGGAAAACATTATACGGAGTAGTATTGTTAAAATCTAGTAGTCAATATATTGATAAATGGAATATGAATCGATATGAATTAGAAGTATATAGGATCACGGCGGACCAGTAGGCAATGTAATAATGATAGGAATAAAAGCAAAAACAGAAGGAATAGGAATTTAATTTCACTGTCAGTTGAATTGAGTTAGTATTAGCCTGATCTGGTCTGGTATGAATTGAATAGAACTTAAACATACTGAACTGCATTGAATATATATTAATTTTGATATATATAATTATGAGGCACAAATAAATCTAGTCAAAGGAATTAATGCATGATAATCCACCTGGAGCCATTTTCAGGTTACTTTGGGTCTCAGGATCGAATTAACATGGACGGTTGGGCATCGGGTTAGGAAGCTCATCTCGTAGAAAAAAATCTTGATAAATAAATACCAACCAATCTCAAGTATCTGAAATCTTCCCTGTGAGTTGAAAGGTCTTCATTTAGAAGACTATGATGGAACATAATGAAAGCTAAGATTCTTTGGAAATCATAAAGTCGATACCCATACTGCTAAACAAAGCGACAATTATTGTAGGTGCAATCGAATGCGTGAACAATGTGACAGACCTAGACAGCCATTCAAATGGCTGTGGAAATGGAAAGATATAACCTTGGAATAGATGAAACTTATTCGACGCATGCTAGACAAAAAGATTTAACTTCAGGAGAGGTTCTGTGGTATTCTGGTTACGAAAAAGATAACTCTTGACACACACCTGGAGTTGCACTGATACTCTCCAAAGAAGCGCGAGGAGCGCAACAAGTTTTAAATCTTACAAGATCTACTAAAAGAGGAGGAAACCACTGTGGAAAGCAATTGGACAGAGATTACAGAAATGATAATTTTAACATTCTGAAAGATTCTGAACCCTAAAAACACCATCATAAAGAATGGAGTCCTGTGGCAAGTCTGGGCAGGATTATAGAAAGGAAACACAAGACAGTAATCACTAACAGACAAACATAAGCAGAGAAAGTAGAAGCATAGGCTGAATGTACCGAAGCAAACAAATGAGGGCAAAAGAGTATTTGAGCTGACAAGGGGAATTATGTAGAACACTTGCCAACAACACCAGACAAGTGAGGGAAATAGGGGTGAACTATGTAAAGCAACCAACAAGTTGGGAGGGAAATATAGTAAACCAGAGCGACCAGTCAAGGACAAAGATGGCAAGACAATCACTGAGATTAAAGAACGGAGGAACAGGTGGGTAGGTTACTTTGGAGAACTCTTGAACAGACCAGCTCCATTTAACCCACCGTATATGAAGACCTCTACATCTCAGGAGAAGCATAACATACAATGGACACGTTGGATACAGTTCGACTATTTTAATTTCACAGATGATCTAGTCTTTCTATTCTACACAGAGCAAACAATGCAGACAAAGACAAACAACGTAGTAGACGCCTCTTCACCTGTATGTCTCAAGATTCATAAGGAAAACAGAAAGATAAAGAAATAATACAATCTGCGCAGCGAATATACAGAACCTGATGACAAAGATCTAGAACACATAGAAGCTTCTAAGTATCCAGTAGTATCACAACGAAACAAGAATGACCAGATGCAAATATAAGATATGGATTGGGGAATCAAGGGTAACATTCCTGCAATTAAAGTACAAATGTAACTCGAAACATCTGTCAGCCAACACCGAAGTCAGAATTTTCAGTATAAACGGTAAGACAGCTCAATTGCATAGAGCTGAAACTTGGAGTACTACTTCAGCCATCACCAAAAATGTACAGTCATTTATAAACCTCTGTCTCCTCAACATACTGCAGATCCATTTCCAAGATGCCATTATCAGTAGTCTATTGTGGCAGAGAATAAAACAGCTTCCAGATGAGGAGGAAGTCAGGAAAAGACTGAATGTGAATAACTCACACTTTACGAAAATCATTTAATCGCATCTCAAAGGAAGACCTAATTTTGAATTCTCAGAGTAAAAGAAAAAGAGACAGACCAAAGTCAAATAGCATAGAGAATCGGAAACTGACATTAAAAGAATGAATAGTGCTTGGAAACAGCTGGAGAATAGGATCCAGGACAGAGTTAGTTAGAGATTTCTGATCAGCAACCTATGCCACATGAGAGGCGACGGGAGCAAGTAAATAATTAAGTATTGTGATACATTAGTTACGTATTTCACGCAAACATTCATACAAAAATAAAGGGGTATATAGATAGATAGGTCGAAGAAGATCAAGTGGATGACCAGCAAAATTAAAATGGCATGTCTTGTTTCACATCGTAATCTGATCTTATAATCATTTCAATTGAGTTTGAGTTTGCATGAACTTGTTATATCATAAATTGATCACACTTGATCAATATGACTTGTAGTGTAAACCCTTTAGATTCAAGTGTTACTTCCATCCCGAAACAAACAAATTTCAATCGACGTAATATTTGTAATCGAAAGAAAAAAGATTGTTATAAGAAAGGGGTTTTGTGGATAATGTAATTTTAATAGTTGAGTTCATGAGTCAATTGAAGTCAAACGACCGTGGAAAACGTGGAAGCACTGGATGGCCGTTTTGTCCTAGTTCGAGAATCAGCAGTGCGCACCCACGATCTCGCCCAGCGGGGTCCGAGCTCATGACTTATTGGTCTGTTATTTTATCATTTATAGTAAATTTTATTTGAAGTAAGAAACTAAAAGTTATAATTGATATATTGATTAATGGATTGCAAATTAGTAATTAAAAAGTACTGTATTAACCTTGAAATCTAGCGGCTTTGAGTTCGACTACTAAGTTAAGCTAAAAAACGAAAGAATGGTAACACGTAAGTAATAAGTGGTAAAACTTCTTATGTTGGGAAATAAAAATCCGTTAACATAATAAACCATCTCGTCATGAAAAAAATGTACATCATAATTTTAAAAGAACAGAAAATACAATCAAATCGAAGATGCATAACATAGGACAACTTAAATGGAATTAATACCAAAATGAATAAATGTACAGATATTAAATTCACTCGGTATTGTTTTGCTTGTATCTTCCCATTGAGGTTTATGACTGCAATTGATCAGTCTGTTATTGGCATATGTGCATATTGTGCGTATTGCCACGATACTGCCTGAAGTCTCAGGCTTTATGAGTAAAGATGGATAGTGGCTATCAGTGGAGTCAATGACGCGCTATTCGTCCTATTTGGGACTAGTCAGTTGGATGTATTTGTATCTGTGTTGATGTCCACTCCAGGACTCGAACCTAGTACCATAGGCTTCAAACGCCATCGCGTTATCCATATTTGCTTGTACATATATTAATAAATATAGTCTTATATATTTTTTTCCAATTAAGGTATCGACATTATATCCAATATCAATGACGGTGAATTAAAATATAATGGAGAATTATTTAGAGTTACACAGGAGACGAAAAATATTAAAATAAAAGAAGAGTTTAATGAAGAGGATAATGAAAATAAGGATTTACAGAGAAATAGTGAAGGTTACAAAATGATACCAAATTTAACAGAAGCTGAAAAGGAGAGGAAAAGAGTAGCTTCTCAACAACTCAAAATAAGTGAAAACAAACCAGAAATCCCAGATGTAACGGAAAAGAAAAAAAGGTCACAAACGAAGGAAGCAAAGAATCGACTGACGAACAAACATGGAATTAAGGAAGACAAACAAGAAAACAATAAAACAAAAGAAAGAAAAAAGAAGAACAACAACAAAAAGGAAAGAGAAAAGAAGTTCGAACTAGGAAAAACAAAAACAGAAGAAACTAGGAAAAGAAAAGAAAAACAAAATAACCAAGAGAGGAGAGAAAAAACAACGAAAACAAAGAAAAGCACAGATGTGCCAGAGCAAAACGAAAACGAAAATAACAAAACGATAAATAAAATAAAAAGAGCAATGATAAAAAAAGAACAAGATAAAACAATCGAAGAGGACGGTGAAAAAAAAGAATTTAAACAAAATATAAATCAATTACAGATGGTAAACAATAAAGCTAAAAATGAGGACAAAGAGAAGAATACAATTGAAAAGATAAACAAAAACATAAATAAGAAAGAAAACGGAGAGACTGAAGAAAATGTATCACAAACCAGTGAACAAGGTCAGAAAAATTTTGATGGACACAGCACTGTTAGTGACAGTGGAGAAGTGGATGAGCGTTGGAGTGTGGATAATAATGTGACGAGTGTGACGAAGGAGGATAAATCACGTGAAGGCGAGAGATGGTCGGTCGCATTGAACATGGACGGTGAGACTGTGACACAGGTAGTTGGTGAGGACAAGATGGTATCAGTTAGTGAGTACGAATTTGTGGACAACGAACTACAGGGTGCATCACGAGCACCCGATGAAGGTTGGGAGTCACAAATCGATGCGACGCCTGAGCCGATCGACCAGACCAACTTGGATGTGGAAATCAACACGGTTCCGATGCTGTCATTGACTGAGGACAGACTGCAGTCGGGTTCTGTGTCGGATGCTGTACAGTCAGTGGGCCCACATGAGGAGACAGGTTCACACGGAAACAACTCTGTCGGTACGGATGACAACAAGGAGGGTGAGGAAAATGTGTCACAATCCGGTCGAACGAGTCATGTAGATTTTGGTGGACACAGCACTGTTAGTGACAGTGGAGAAGTGGATGAGCGTTGGAGTGTGGATAATAATGTGACGAGTGTGACGAAGGAGGATAAATCACGTGAAGGCGAGAGATGGTCGGTCGCATTGAACATGGACGGTGAGACTGTGACACAGGTAGTTGGTGAGGACAAGATGGTATCAGTTAGTGAGTACGAATTTGTGGACAACGAACTACAGGGTGCATCACGAGCACCCGATGAAGGTTGGGAGTCACAAATCGATGCGACGCCTGAGCCGATCGACCAGACCAACTTGGATGTGGAAATCAACACGGTTCCGATGCTGTCATTGACTGAGGACAGACTGCAGTCGGGTTCTGTGTCGGATGCTGTACAGTCAGTGGGCCCACATGAGGAGACAGGTTCACACGGAAACAACTCTGTCGGTACGGATGACAACAAGGAGGGTGAGGAAAATGTGTCACAATCCGGTCCTTTGGATTTTGGTGTTTTTATTTAGGCGACCTCCCTTTTTCTCAATGGAGTTTTGAATATTTGAATATGTTTCATTATTTTTATGTCGGTATTTTTTTGTCGCGGTTTTGGTTTTCTGTGTTCTACGGATTGATTTTAGGTAAATGTTTATTGATATCGGTTTTTTGTCGATTGGTTTCATTTTTCGTCTGTCACTTTATTGCTTTCCATTGGTTTATGAAATTCATTGTTTTTGATGTTTTCTGATTCTTTTTGTTTAGATTCGTAGACGTTTATTATTGCTGTTTTTAAGCTTATTCTATGTCTGTAATTTAAATTTTCTCATAATTATTGCGGTAATATATTTTCTGCTTTCTGATACACTTTTAGATGTATATTTACTGAATGTGGAATATAACTGTTACTGTGTAATTATATTAGTTGTTTTTTGTTTTATATACAACCCTATTAGTAGCAGCTAACTACTTATTCAGTCAACAGTTGCATATTCAAAATTATATAACTCGAATGTGCAGTTCGTTTACTATTTTTCATACTGATCTCCTACCTCTGACTAATTAGATGAAATAGTTTTGCGATGCTTCCTGGTTGTTTAATGATCATTAAAGATGTTGTTAATTTTACGTGCTGTATAATTTTTAGGAATTAAACTATTCACCACTAATTATATGGTTAAAAAATCCAAGTGAATAGTTCATAAACATATTTTACATAAATGATGTTTTCATATGTCTATCAACATCAATTTATGCTACAGAGAACGCTGTGTAAAGCTAATCAATTCAAAATACACAAACTTGATATTTAACTAAGTTGTACCACTAATTTGAATGATTATACTACTCATACAATAATATGAGTAAGTAGTATGAAATTAAAATACAAATTTAATGTATGAAAGATTTGAATCAATTAAATAATTAGATGAGTGCACATTCAAATTTGATGTGCAATAAAACTTTAAATGGATTTCGACAAACACTGAATACACTATTTCAAATTATTCTGTTTAGTACATTCATGCAAACATTAGTCAAGAAAGTTGATTATTAGCTTAATGTAAACAACTCACATAAAACTCAGCAATCTGTAGATCAACAGGAAAAAAATAATGATACATGACTATTTAATAATACTAAACACTAAAAAGTGTTGATCGGGTAATTATACAAACATAATGTATGTTAGATAAGAAAAATATAGAAGGCAACAATAAGTCACTCGGTGAATACGAACCTGCATAGATCTTGAAATTCACATTATTAACAGTATTGATAGATATGTGGTGTAATCAATATTATTGAGTTCACTGACTCTTTATTAGGCGTACACATTAGAATTCAAGAACGGAACTCAAAGTGTAAAACATCATTTCTTTATAGGATTCACTCTTTTGTGTGTTGCACAGTACTAGTGATCATCAGTCAGTTTTACTTGAATGATATGTAACCAGTCCAGTGTGTTTATTCATCGAGATTATCTATCCAACATTATCTCTTTTACGTGTGAGTAAGGTTTCATCGTTTCATAGAGGATCTGTTTCAAAACGATGTTGTTCCCAACTCGCCAATAGTTATCCAACATAAAATTTTGTCTACTATAGAAACATTCGACTCTTAATAAAACTAAGATGTCGTAAATGATAGACTGGGTTAGTCTGATCGTATCACGTCCTGTGCTCTCATGAATTCCCGAGATCGAAAAGTAGGTGGCTATAGGTAAGCGAGAAACGATAATAATGGAATTCGATCAGACACCTAGTTAACGTCTGGACCTACAGGTTTTGTGTGTGTCAGAAGAGCAAGTACTTAAACACATATGATTTGAATACATAGCTAATCACGGATTTTCTAATTGAGACTTCCCACAGCTTGCATAGATTGCTTACTCGAAACCACTAGTTGAGCAGGCGTAAAAGAAGCGTGAACATCTGAATCGGACGTCGTCGAACGTAATACAAACTGCAATGTGCAAACGTTGACCTGTTTTGTTTTTGATGGAACAACATAGTGCTGCATTGTTAACTCGTAAAATGATCATCTATAAGCAATAACACAATCCAAGAAAATGTTCGGAACACGTGTCACTCAGAACTGTCTGTCAATTGCACAGAACACTACTTCTGTGACGTCGTTTTATCGAACAATAATACACAGATGTCTGTAACGAGACACTCAACCACTAGAATGCCTCACATAACGTGTAAAACAAACAGTGATAGTTGATGAATTGAAGCGTAATAAACGATATATTCACGTTGAGAGACCTTTCGGTTTGTGTTAATAAACAGTTTCAAAAACCGTTATCCCTGTGATTTTTATCATTAATTGTCACTATCGTTGGCTGTGTGGTTTCATATTATACTTCAACGCGAATAAATTTGTGTCTTGCTCAGGTATATAATTGAGATATCACAAGTTCACGTTATTCCTCGTCACTTTTCGCTCTTAATTTATTCGAACTCATTAATGATACTCAATGTGTAAAACATCATTTCTTTATAGGATTCACTCTTTTGTGTATTGCACAGTACTAGTGCTCGTCAGTCAGTTTTACTTGAATGATATGTAACCAGTTCAGTGTGTTTATTCATCGAGATTATCTATCCAACATTATCTCTTTTACGTGTGAGTAAGGTTTCATCGTTTCATAACATATCGATTGCTTCACAGTGCTACTCCACAAGCGATCCTTCCGTAGTGTACCTTCCTCTCGATGTCCGATTTTCTAGCTACATAATTAACTCGATCATTCTCTAATAGAGCTGCTTTGTCCTACCCATGTTGTGTAATCTACATCATTGTGTTCGTTGACACCTCAGTTCGCGTATATATTCTCATGTTTACATACATGTAACAATGTTTGTAGAGGATCTGTTTCAAAACGATGTTGTTCCCTACTATAACTTACGAACTTACTAGTACACAAAGCTTGCATCGACTATTGAGTATAGTGTGTTCTATGATTATTATTATTATTATTATTATTATTATTATTATTATTATTATTCAGTAACGATGATGTCTACAACATTTCGCGCAAACGACAAATGATTATAGTTGAGTGGCATACAGTTCACCATAATATACAGATGTTTATAAAGAAGATGTTGATGTATTTCGTTTCTGATGATCACCGTAAATTTGATATTTATTAATAATTTTATAAAGTGATATAGGAATTGTTGAAATGTTGTATGTTTTCTGTTTTGAATAACCTATCAATATGGTGAACTAGGAGTGATTGATCGAGGAATTCTAATTGTGATTATTCGATTTCGAATATGAATTGACGCGAAATACCAATACCAGTGAAATCTGGATGAATGCTTATTCTTTAGTCAACACGTTTGTCGTTCAATCAATTTGAGCAGTTGTGTGGAAATAAATAATAAACAGAATGGTTTACTCACTGTGATACTGAAACAGAACTGAAAATATTCTGACTTGAATATGAATACGTAAAGATAATTAGAACGGAATAGAAAATTACTACAGACTAACTATATATATTTAGTACAAATTGGATTACTTAAATACAACATCACAAATGGACGTTCTACTTGTCCGGATAGCGTGTTGGATAATTTAAAGGTTATTCGAGAGGAAACACGGAAACAACCAAATTGGTGTTCTGATAGGAATATGATCACAAGAGTGATTAATAATGACATTCTCTACGGTCATGGTCATGTCCGTGATGATGATGATGATGATGGTGATGACGACAGTCATCGTGATGTCTGTGATGATGATTATGGTGGTGGTGATGACGACAGTCATCATGATGTCTGTGATGATGATGATGGCGGTGGTGATGACGACGGTGATGGTGATGGTGGTGATGACGACAGTGATGACGACGGTGATGACGACGGTGATGACGGTGATGTCCGTGATGACGACGGTGATGATGGTGATGGTGGCGAGGACGACGGTGATGATGGCGACGATGTCCATGATGACGGTGTCTACGGCATCCCTGGTGACTGCGATGGCGGCGGTAATGGCCATGAAGCAATTGTGATTGTGTGGCATTTTCACCGCCAACATTCTCTAATATACTTGCATCAGTGTGATTACTTTCACTCGTGCTGTCTGTCCGATCTATTTCCTCACTTCCATATCCACTGTCAGAATCCTTCGTCACATTGTCCTGTTGCAGTGGCTCAGTAACAATGACGGTCGGTCCTATAACAAAACAAGACTTCGTGTAAAGGAATTATTGATTAATGAAATATGTGCGAGCATAAACAAACAAAACTGACTGTGTGCAGATGTTGACCTGTTTGTTTGTTTTTTGGTGGAACGACATAACGCTCTGCTATTAAATCTTGAGGTGATCATCTGTAAGCAATAACACACAATCCAAGAAAATGTTCGGAACACGTGTCACTCAGAACTGTCCGTCAACTGCACAGAACACTACTTCTGTGACGTCGTTTTATCGAACAATAATACACAGATGTCTGTAACGAGACACTCAACCACTACAATGCCTCACATATCGTGCATAACAAACAGTGATAGTTGATGAATTGAAGCGTAATAAACGATATATTCACGTTGAGAGACTTTTCGGTCGACACACATCCTCAGATATCCCAACAACACACCCACTTACCTTCACTAGCTGGAGAGACTGATAACGCTTCGACCAGTCGGTGTTCGAAAACGAACACACTCAGTAGTAGTATGACGATGAGTTTCATTGCAATTCTGGAAGAGAGAGAAATGTTGACCTGTGAGTAGTCAGTATATCCTTCTTGGTCAGTTCATGTGTATTAGTCAACGTGAATGTAGTAGAGTAGTTATAGCATCACGTCAGTTACAGAATTTTCACCAACTTACTCTCCTCACTCTGACTGTTTATCTTCCACTACTCGACAATGTTAGTGGTAGTCGCCAATCGAAGTGTGATGTAACTGCACGTGTATTTATATGGCAATGTGGTCTATGGAAAATAGGTTTAGAGAGTCACGTAATAAATCACTCAAATCAATCATGATAATCACTTGTGTCCTAA